CTACGTGGTGGCCGTGAGTTTTGGATCTGCATTGATGTTGCAATGACCTTTCACACCTTGACGTTTAGTGGGTGCTTCCTAACAGTGCCAGGGGCTTCCTCTCTTCTGCCCCCACCAGCAGGCTATCTTCATTAGGTAAGGGAGTGGCCTGAATTCCAAGATGGAAACTTGCACACACAAAAGAAGTAGGATCTTTGAACAGAGGGGCTAGAGTTCCACCTCCATTTGAAACCTCTCTTTACTACTGCCCCCCCCAACACACACACACACCATTTGTGGGGTTTTTTTGCTTCTTCCAGGTTTGGCTGCAATGATGGCATCAGGTATCCCTGGTAACAATCATAGTAAAGGCATCTGCACCTGCATTCCTCTATCAGCCATCCCAACAAGTGTCGAGATGAACTGAGGTGACCCAGGGTTGGAACCCAATGAATTCCACGAGAGACCTTTCAATTCACCAGTCGCTGCTTTCATATTGATTGTGGCAATGTTCAGCACATCACTTTACACCTCAGTTATTATCGTACAACTTTTGTAATCATCCAAGCAATGCTTCAGTACATTTGAAAATCAATCAAAACCCAAATGATCTTTAATATTCTTGAAAAGAAAGTTAAGGGTCATTTAATATTTTAAGAAAACCCCTCTTCTTAGAGCATTAGTTGTCAGGTGGACAACGGTCTCTTTGTGTGAAGGGGTTTCATGGGAAAATCCCATCTTTCCATTCCATTTGTCCATGAAGCTTTTGAAGTCCCCTTGGATGCTGAGAAATGTGTTTATGGTGAAGTATTTTTCCCCCTTTCAGTTTTGCCAGGATCGCAAGTTGTACAATCCACTGCACAGAAGCCATCTGTTATGGATATAATTATGCCCCCCCACCCCAAATGTGGGCTGTAGATCCTATGCTTGTAGTTCCGCTGCGTTGAAGGCATTGTTTAGAAACAAGGCACACCAGGGAGGGGACGAGCCAGTCAGGGTGCGGTGTAGCAACGATGAAACATAAAACTTTCCTCTAGTTCCTAAATGCTTCCTCCCCACCCACTGTCATCGTCCCAATTCTACCTTACAAATCTGGCTAGACCAGAGGATGTACACTGGTACAGATAGGAACTGGAAACACAGGGAATCCAGGACAGATGATCCCTTCAGGACCAATGGTGAGAGTGGCGATACCGGGAGGATGGAGGGAGGCTGGAGTAGAGAGGGGAAACCGATTATAAGGATCTATATATAACCTCCTCCTTGGGGGGCGGACAACAGAAAAGTGGGTGAAGGGAGACGGCGGACAAGGCAAAATATGACGAAACAGTAATTTATAAATTATCAAGGGTTCCTGAGGGAGGGGAGAGCAGGGAGGGAGGGGGGAAATGAGGAGCTTATGCCAGGGACTTAAGCGGAGAGCAAATGTTTTGAGAATGATGAGGGTAACAAATGTACAAATGTGCTTTATACAATTGATGTATGTATGGATTGTGATAAGAGTTGTATGAGCCCCCAATAAAATGATTAAAAAGAAAAATAAAAACAAGGCAAATCTGATGCAAAAGACCTCTTAATTCTCAAGGGCTGCTCTAACAGAAAGACCACAGTGGAAGATCAATGTCAGGGCCCCCGATCTCTCAGCTGGTACTAGAGGTAGGGCCTTGTCTCCTTTCAGCATCTATGGGCCCTGTAGTCTTTAGAGATGTACCTATGTCTTGTCATTAATCTTCTCCTGGGTCTAGAAGTTTCCCAGCACAGGGTCTCTGGGTTCAAAGGACGAATTCCACACCTGGCTCTTTTCGTGGTGGTACTGAGGTTTACTTCTGTCTTCTTTGATCTCCTCTAAGATAAAAGGTGAAGCAGACCGTACCCCCAGGAGACTGTCCCTTACATCAGATTAGGGCTGTGATTGAAGGGTACTACATCCCCACCATAATCTTTGTGCATCTGATTAGATGACCACATCATACAGGATAATCTCATCAACACGTAAGTGCTAAACCAGGGAGAGTCATGGCCCAGCCTAGTGGACACATATTTTGAGGGGACACCATCAATACATGACAACCTTTTGAAAGTGTTCAAAAATAAGGATGTTACCTTGGAGACTAAGGATCACCTGACCCAGGCTCATGGCATTTGCAATGGCCTCGTGTGCATGTGAGAGCTGGATAATGGATCAGGAAGACTCGAGAATGGAGGCCTGTGAATGATGGCGCTGGTGAAGATACTGAATTCACCATGGACGGCCAGAGGAGTGGACACATTTGCCTTGGGAGAAGCGCAGCCAAAATGCTCCTTAGAAGAGAGGATGGCAAGAGTGCATCTCCTGTACTGTGGACATGTTCTCAGGAGGGATCAGGGTAAAGTAGAGGGATGAGCTGGATGGACACAGTGGATGGAACCATGGGCTCCGACAGAACAATCATCGTGAGGATGGCGCAAGGCCAGGCAGTGTTCCCTTCTGTGGTACATGGGGTGGCTGTGAGTTGGAAACTTGCTTTGCTTCTCTTTCTTTCTTTTTAGACACCGTGTATCATGAGTTCATTATAAAAGAGAGACATGTGGATGACATAAGGAAAGATTTCAGAACGTCAATGGAATGGGCAGCTTCGCATGATGCCATTTCACGTACTTGGGAAGTCCACGTACTTCCCAAGAATGTCACCACCTCGAAATAAGAAATTTGCCACCTAGAGCGACTTTGGTGCCTCCATCTGCAGGGAGCAGAACTTTATCTCTGACTTGTACACGCACTGGTTGAATCTCTCCACCCTTTCCTTTCGAGCCAGACCCAACAACTACTGCTGTTGCTTGCAGGACTTTTCCTTGAAATTTTTCTGGAAGTATAATGCCTCCTTTAACTCCTTTCCACCAATACTCGGTCAAAGAGGGGAAGAAGCTTTCGAAAGGCCTGTCCTGCCATGACGCTTGGGTGGTGACAGCAAGTACTTCTCTCACGCTACACCGCTGCACCCAGAGGCCCACCGGAAAACGTGTTGTTCTCTCTGTGTGTGTGTGTATGTGTGTTGTTCTTATTCTTGCCTTAGAATCGGCTGCTTTCACAGTTCAGTACCCTCACTGCACCGGTGATTTTGGGTACCCGTGCCTGCAGTCTCCCTTCCCAACTGTTCACCAAAGAAACATGTCCTCTTCTTCAGGCCCAATTCCCAATGTTTAACCTGGCTGCCTTTCCCAGGAACACCTCCTGGAGGACTTCAGGGTCACCCCTGCTTGGACACACTGAGGGTATGCTTCGAGAATGAACCACCAGATTTAGGCCCCATGTGATGGGATGCAGAGGGCCTCCCAGCTCAGATGGTCAAAGGCTGATCTTAGATGGAGCTGCAGAGTCAAGGGGCTGGGCTTAGGCTCCCAGTGCCCACTGGGTGGGCACAGGGTGACCATCCACGGTTCAGCTTTCTTGTGTCTTATGTGGAGGGAACCTTGCAATGGGGGCAAAGGGGGGACCTTCAGGCAGAGTGCCCAGGCAGGTGCGGGGGAGTGCTCCTTAGGGAGAAGGCAAACCTAGAATTCCTTGACCTCATAAGGAAACAGCTTGTATCAGCCTGGGAGGGGTGGCATGAGGGAGGACCAAGCAGGCTGTAAGCGCGCAGGACTCTGGGAGAGGGGCCAGCATTGCAGACTGGCTATGACTCTCATCTTGCCAAAACTCATGAGTCCCAGAGCGGCTTCTGCTTAGTCCCCAGCCCAAAGGGCCATCTCCTCCCTTGCCCAGCCCAGGGCTCGTCCTTTCTTCCCAGGGATGCCCCTCAGTCAGCCCCATACATCATGAGGATAGCTTTGAACATGACTGTCCATTCTTCACGCTGTACTAGGCAGCCCTCTCCTACCAAGGCCTCACCTCTTCCTACCCACACTCCATCGCTTGCCCCATTGACCCAGCTTAAACGCCTGGTTCTGGGAGGCTACACTCCAACTCTGCTGGGTGGCATTCAGTTCGGGGGTCAATGTGCCCTCCTTCCCGCCCAGTCCCACAGGTAGGTGGTGAGGTGCGGGCAGGCAGCCTCACTCCATTGTCCCCACCTCGCATTGCATCCTGTCCTCTGCCAGGGCCCACTGGCACGCCTGGCCCCTTCGAGGGCTGGCTGAGAGCTCCTGGAGCGCCTGTTGGCGGCCTCCTGGCCCAGTGCCCCACTTCCTCCCCTGGCAAGCAGGCAGGGAGGCGGCGGTGGGCGCCGCCCATGTGGGAAGGCGAGGGGGTCTGAAGACTCCCTGCCTGGGCCGGCCAGGACAAAGGCCTGGGAAGTGGCCGGCCTGGGCGGCTGGGCCCCCCGCGTGGCCGCCGTTCCCTCTCGCTCTGCACGCAGGGGCCTCGGATGGGAGGCTGGCCCTGGGCAACGCTGGCCCCAAGGGTCCGCTCTGGGTCCTCGGTCTTTTCTTAGGTACCCAGGCGCCGACAGGGTGCAGGGACCCGAGCGGAGGCCCACGTGACTGCTGGGGCGCGCCTGCTAGGTCCGGATAGCGCTCAGGGTCACGCCCAGTATGGCTAGTGCAAATGGGCGGTGCGTGACTTTTTCGCTCGGCAACCTCCGCCCCTTTTACGGGCGCTCAGCCCGCCCTATTCCCAAGCCCAGGCGCTGGCCGGTTTCCGCGGGTTCCGCTGGCACACAGTCCCCGCCCATCTTTAGGACCAACGCGCTAGCGTGTGACGTCTGCGATCGCCAGCCCCGCCCATTCCCGTCGGCGGTTAGCCCCTCCGCGCTTCCCCTTTCAGACAGGTCTGCGCAGCCTCAGTAGGCGCGCAGGCTCCGCCCCTTCCCACCATTTGACATCTCGCGTCCCTTCTCGCGTTTCCAGGCCCCGCCCACTTCAACCGCCTTGACTGACGTAAGGCCCGCCCCTGTCTGTGGCCCAACCCCCTCCGTTTGTGACGTCATGCTCACAAGTCCCGCCCATCTCCCCTTGGTTACCGCGTTCAGATTAGTCTGTGCCGGCCGACCTCTCACAGGCTGTGGTCCCAGCGGCGTACGAGCTGCCCAGACCTGGGCACCATCACTCTGCCGCTGGCTTCTCGTTCTTTTTGCCGCCGAGCGTCGCGGCCGTTGTTGGCGGTCTCCGCCAGGTCGCTACGGCGCTTGCGTGGGTTCCGGGCTAGCCGCGACATGGACGACTACGACTGGCTGTCCGATTCGGAACTGTTGTCTGTGCTGCGCCAATACAACATCCCGCACGGGCCAGTCGTGGGTACGTGGATTTGGCGGGAGGCGGGTGGCGGGGCGGCGGGCGGGCGATCCCCCTGCCGGGCCCTGCCCGCGCCCTGAGCGCCATCCTTGTGCCTGGCCAGGCTCAACGCGAAAGCTGTATAAGAAGATCTTTGAGTATGAGAGCCT